CTTCAGAGGGCCCCAAGCTAGTCTCGGTGGCCAATGGGCCTCAATCTGACCTAAGAAGGCCCTATGTCGCTGGGCTTAAAAGACCCCACGCTGGACATAGACTGCCCAATGCTGGACATAGAGGGTCCCACACTGGTCTTACAAGGACAATCAGAAACTGGAACCAATTGCCAGAAACCATCCGTAATCAAAAACGAAAAAAAATGGCGGCGCTAGATATGGGGAGAGTTTTTCTCGAATAACTTTCGAACTAGTCAAGATAGGAACAAACTAGGGGCACCATCGTGATCCTCTCGTCAATCCTCGTCAATCCGCATCGAATGATATATATATATATATATATATATATATATATATATATATATATATATATATATATATATATATATATATATATATATATATATATGTGTGTGTGTGTTGACCTCGAAAGGTCAAGGTCAAAGGTTGACCTCAGGTCACGTGACCTCGAGGTCATCATATATATCATTCGATGCGGCTTGACGAGCTGAACACAATGCGACCATCCGCGCGGCTGTATCTTGTTCCTGTACGGAGTTATTGGCAAAAAACCGCTGGTGACCTTTGATGACGTCACATGACCTTACAGCTGCCCAACAGCAAAACAGACCTCAAGGTAGTGAAGGTTGATCGTATATGAAGTCATGTATGGTATATGGGGCCATTCCGACCCGTTTTAGTGGCAAGAACAGGGAGTTGATTTTTCCCCCATTGACTTATAATGGGGAGGTCGCGAAATTGACCTGACCTTAGGTCACCGACATCAAAATTCCGAGATATACAAATTGTAGCTACTAATGACCTCATAACATCCTGCGACTTTCAAAGGCCTCCGACATCTACTGTAGCTCTGGCACGGTGACAAAGTTGCAAAAAAGTGACTTGAGGTTGGGTCATTCAAAGTGACCTGGTGACCTGACCTAAAAAGTTAGGAGGTTCAAACTTGCACAGCATGTGTAAAATTGATGAGAGAATAGTCGTACCAAATTTTGCGGCGCTACGCGCCGCGGTTTTCCCGCTTTTCGCGAAAAACCTCAGGGGCCCCCGTCGGTGCGCGTGTTAACCCGCGCCCCGTAGGGGGGGCCGAAACGGCCCCCCCCCCTGTCCTTTTCGGTCGATATCTCCTAAACGGCTGGAGATATCGCCACCAAACTTTCAGGACCCCTCCGGGCATCAATTTTACACATTGTGACCAAAAATTTTTCCAGAGGCTATGATAGGTTGGCCACAAATGACGTCAGAGTGACGTCATGTTCTGTCATTTTCGACCGAAAAAAGACCTTCGCAAGAAGACCTGTCAGGACTACAGCTTTGAAGATACAGAAAAATGATCAAGACATAAAAGGTGTAGAATTGACAGGGCTACACAACTGCTATCTCGAATTTTTGAAATTTTTGAGTTTTGACCCCCAAAAATCAAAAAAGCATTGTTTTGGATATATTCGCCAAAAAATCCAAAAGGTTTTTTGAGTTTCGAAAAAAACCAGAATATATGTGATAGTGCCTACCTTCTTCTATCTACATACCAAATTTCAGATCGATACCTCGTTTTTTGGCCAAGTTATAGCGAAAAAAAAAAACTGTTAAAAATGATGACGTCAAATTTTCAAACTCAATTTTTGGCAATTCTAGAACTCCTAGAGCAAAACGAAGACCACCATTAGACTCCCCGTGACGAGCTGCATCGAATCGATACCCATTTTATGCAAAAATATCAACTTTGAAATTTGACCTAATTTGACCTGACCTTGACCTGACCTTCACAAAAACGTGACCTAGGCTGGCCCCAAAGGCTGCCTAACCCACATAATCGCATTTGTCATGTAAAATGGACCATAAAACATGTATCACACGACACATTTATATTGTGACCCCCGGTGACCTGACCTCGCTGTGACCTGACCTGGTATCAGTGACCTCAGATAGCAAAGTATGTGTTTGACGAACAATGTACCATCGATGGTTTTCAATAAATTACCAATTTACTCGCTTTCACAGCACCTTTCTTGAATTGCCTGTGAACGGTGAAAATCTGACCTTTGACCTGACCTGTGACGTCATCTGTTTGACCTAGGTCAATGAAATTTGGTCACAAGGTAGTTCCCGGGTGGGCCTATCGAACGCCGTTTGAATTTTGAAAATCGGCCGGTAACTTTCCGAGATCTTAGGGGGGGGGCCGAAACGCCCCCCCCCCCTACGGGTGGTAGGGTCCGCCGGTAGCCCTACGGGGCGCGGGTTAAGAGGCACTGGTGTGGGGCCCTTAGAGGTGGCAGTGGAGGCCCTCACAGGCGCAGTTGTGAGGGCCCCAGCCCCTCAGAAACACCGGTGTGGGCCGTGGGGCCATAGCAAACGGGTATGGGGCCCTTACAGCTGATCCCTTATTGGCCGGCAAGAGCCCTCAGGGCCGGCAAGGTCCCTCAGAACCTGGCGTAAGGCCCTTCTGGAGATAAGTGTGGCTACACAAGAGCCCATGGGGTGTTCTCACAAGCCCTGTGGTCTCCTTTCCAGTTGAAGCGTTGCCAGCGCGGGCCCTCTGCCGCCAATTGGAACCGCAGGGCCTCTCGGGCCCGAGGGGACCCTAAACCCTATAACGGACACGTGCCCCCTCGCCCCTGGCCATACCATTGAATCCGAGTGATCACGGGTCGTTCAGGTAATCAGGGGCCTCTCAGGTGACCAGGGCCTTTCAATTGACCAGCGGTCTTTCAATTGACCAGGAGCCCACCAGGTGACCAGGGGACCCTCTGATAACAAGAGGACGGTTATACGGGCTCCAAGGGTAACTAAGGGCCTTTATGTGACTGCAGGGGCCCTTCATATAACCAGGTACTCCCCGGGTAAACATGGGCCCTTCAGGTGACCAGACCAGAGTTTCTTCAGATCACTGGCCAGGGGTCACCCAGTGGATCAGGGGCCCGTCAGGTAGCTAGGGACCCCTTAGATAACTAGGGGCCCCTCAGGTAACCAGGGGCCCCTCAGATAACCAGGGGCCCCTCATATACCAAGAGGCCCCACTGGTAATCAGGGGCCTCTCAGATAATCAGGGGCTCTCAGGCAATCACGGGCCCCTTAGGCAATCAGGGGCCCCTCAGGTAAGCAGCGGCCCCCCAGGAAACCAGGGGCCCCTCAGGTAACCTTGGGCCCGTCAGATAACCAGGGCCCCCGTAGCCAGGGGCCCCTCAGGTAACCAGGAGTCCTTCAGATAGCCAGGGACCAATCAGGTAACCAGGGCCCCCTCAGATAACCAGGGCCACTCAGATAACCATGGGCCCCTCAGATAACCAGGGGCCACTCAGGTAACCAGGGGCCCCTCAGACAACCAGGGACCTCTCAGGTGACCAGGGGGACCCTCAGGTAACCAGGGCGCCCCTCAGGGCCCCCATGGCCCCCCTGGGGTACGTCACTGCACTAAAGTGACCCAAAGGGCCCACTTGCATGTTTGATGCCAAAGGGGGAGGCCATGGCCTCTTGGCCTCCCCCCTGGATACGCCACTGCACAATGTGCCCCTAGGCAGTGCGAGCACGAACCTGCCCCACCACGTTATTTGTAATACTTGTACATATATTTCAAAATTTATTGTTGAAAAATGACTTTTTTAACAAACAAGTCCGCAGCAGTTCCGTGAATAGAGTGAGCTTTTCGCACCCAATTTTTAAAAGCTGAGCCACATTTCCGAGCAGGATCACGAAAATGAATGTTATGCGAAAAGTCTGGAAAGCGCACGAAAATTACAGCTTTGCGTTTTTATCAAACATGACAGCAGGTACAGTGTTGTCTTCTACAGTACACGAGGGGCGGCAATGATAGACATATTTTCATAATTTACCTTGAGGTCGTGCAGTTACTCGTTTTCCAATAAACTGCTGAAAACGAAATGCCCCATGCACGAAAGTGCCCCAGACTCTCCCCTACACCAGCTTGATTCGCGTTAACCGTAATATACAAAAGCGGAGACTTGAGAAAATTCTTTATAAGATCCCACATCTAAGCAAGTTCATATTTCTCTAGGCTACACAAGCACTAGCCTAACCTATGCAAAAAATCCCGAGATGGTCTATAAAAATAAGAGGAACTCAACAAAGCCCTGTAACAGCAACAGAGTCCTGTACAGTTGGTTGTGCATGGGGTAGATGCAGCCCCCTCGAGTGTTCCTAGAATGCCCATGAAGAGGAAGCGCATTTGGCTATTGGCCTGGATTAAGAACAAATATTTCGTTTTTTTTTTTTACCAGAGTAGCACACATTTTTAGCTGATATTTGGTGTAGGAAAAGTCAATAGTAGCAACATTATACGCATTAGGAATTAGGATAGACGCATAGCATTCCTCATGCAGCCCCCACTCCGATCATCTGAGCTGGCTTATAGGGTCCCTAATTGACATGAGGTTAAAAAATGCGCGACAACTTTATATCATGGGGAGACGCTCTTCTTTCCGTAAAATTCTTAAAGAAAACATTTCAGGTAGCGTAGTTACGTTCTGTCTGATAACAAAGTAACCAAAACGTCACTTTGCACCTGATTTTCATCACATTGAATCGATTTTTGTACGTAAGGAATATATACTTACAGAGTTGAAGCCTATCAAGCATAACCGACAGACCGTCGCTTTACGCGAAATAATGGATTTTTCAACAACATTAAACCGCGTACTGTACCATACCTAACTAGCATAATAACTAAGTATAGCGAGCTATGTTATGGACAAGCGTTTTGCGTTGGCGAGTTTTGTGGGTCACCCCTACAACGTAATTTCTCGGTTATCGCCCCTGTACACCCCCTGTATCTCCCATGCCATCGGTTTCGGCCGGCGCGTCATGACTGCAATGAGCAGCGGCCACAGCAAACAACCCCCGTGCCAGTTACGGCGAGCGGGCCACGGCTTCCAGGAGCGCTATCATTCGGAATTTCCACGCCATCGGCACGTGAGCTCTCTATCTGCCCTCCCGACCACCTGTTCGGCAGCGAAACGGCCACTCACCGTCAGCACATCGCCGCCACATCATGCCGTCGCCGTCTGTAGGTGGCGCCACGGTCGCGCCACCAGACGGCGCTGGCGTCGCATCTTCACCATCGACAGGCAGACTGACGCCGAGCCGACGTAGCTGCTCCTTACTGACGGTGACCGGAGGTCGGGACGGCGGCAGAGCAGAGGCGTCACCGGTGGCCGTCTTCACCAGCTGCATGAGCAGCTGACGACGCTGCTCCGACAGCGGAGGCGACAGGCCGTCCATCAGGCTGGGGCACCGGGTCAGGGCCAGGTCAGGTCAGATCACCGCTCGGGGAAAACGGGAAATCGACCGAGAAATCGATGTCAACAGAAAAGAGACATCGCACACCTGGATTACGCACAAGCTTTGTGGCTATACTGTAGCCGACAACTACCGGCCACAGCATAGCATGAATGTACTCGTGGCGCCAAATATCCCTTTCAAACACCCAACCCTTGGCAGCATCACGATCTCACCACTCACATCGGCAGAAGTCGGATTGTGGTGGCATTCTTGTGCCGCAGTGCTGTCGCCAGCAGGTGGTCCCAGTGGACGGGTGCTTTGGAGGACCTCAGAGTGCAAGCCAGCAGCACGCACATCGACGTCTCTAGGGTCGGCTGAGATTCCGGCTAGGGCACGCAGGAGAGCGCACGTCACGCAGGGTACACAGCAGAGGTGAGGGCAGTCACTGCACGTGCCCAATGTCGGCTTAAATTGCGCCATGGCTGGAGCATCCCGCGATAGGCATAATACCCTTGAATGCTTCCACGGTCCGATGAATCTGAGTTCCATATCCAGTTAATCATCATTGCCACGGCACGTTTAACTTGCATTTAACATCACCAGCAGCCCGAAATATGAACGGCCCTGCGGCGCACTAAGATATTTTACGCATAAATACAGTACCCCTGTGGCCTGTGGTCATATTACGTTTACTTATTTGATGTAGGGACCACCATGTGTAATGGCATGAGGTCACTTAAGATAGCTTCATCATTTCACGGTCGTCCAGTTAACCACTTGCCGTTCCCTCTCACTATTACCTTCCTAACAAGTCCCCCCTCCACCCCCCCCCCCCTCCCCACACTTACCGGCGTTTCCTGAGCAGTGTGTCGCGCCGCCGCTAGCAGCCGGTGCACCCACAGTGCGGCCGCCGACTCCTGCCTCTGACGGTCGCCGGGGGTCGGGCGGCGCGACAGCAGACACTCTAGCAGTTCCGTCAGCAAGCCGTCACGACTGACGTGCTGCAGAGCCGACAGCCACGTCTGGGTGACTTTAAACTGACGCTGCAGAGTCGCTGGACGGACAGACGAGGAGGTCACACACCGCGGCACGGCGGGAACGCGCCGGCGAGTCGGGGAAAGTAGGCATTCTACAGTAACTGCACTCTGAAATGATGGTTGATTTGTACTATTGACATTTATTTTATTTAAAGTGATTACGGAGCGAGCGAAGCGAGCGTAGTCTTTCCTTAGATTAACGGAAATTTCTGAGTATGAGCGGCCGGCCGGCCGGCCGGCCGGCCGGCCGGCCGTGGTCACGCTTTTGCGAAGCTTATATCTCAGCAACCACTTGACCGATTTACATGCGGTAAATTTTGTAGGGTAGCTTCATTCCTTCTACCAAGTATTGGACTATTCCCGATGCATGTGGGTGACCCCTTATGCACGTGCCACGTGCAAAACGAAGAGGTGTCAGTTTGGTAATTGTTGCAATATCTCGGTAACTACTTGGCCGATTGCGCTGAAAGTTGGCATGTAGGTAGGCACCCACACTAGGCACTGCATATCCATGTGCCAGAGTTGGGGTGCTGCTGCACGTGCGCACGTGCAGGGGTCGTTTCCAGATCTCGAGAACGGCTCGACCGATTGCGCTCAAATTTGGTACACAGTTAGGGACCGGTTAGTAGGGTGCCGTGCACAAGTCAGTTGGGACCCATTTTGCACGTGCGCACGTGCAGAGTGCCGCTTCCAGATCTCGAGAACGGCTGGGCCGATTGTGCCCAAATTTGGCACATCGCTAGAGACCGGTTAGTAGGGTGCCGTGCACAAGTCAGTTGGAGGTACCCCCTCGAAATTTCGCACGTGCAAGGCCCACCCTCTCGCTCGCTCCGTTAGTCGCCCCAAAAGGCGTTATACTGGTTCAAAGCATTATAATCTGAGCTAAGCAAACCTCACTCAACAGCTCTGCACACGCCCCTGAGCCCACCATCCTTCCTAACCCATTCCTCACAGCCCGACGGCGTTCCGTACCTGTTCCACCTCCGAACGTCGCTATATACGAGGCCACCATGGCGTCGGCGACCACACTCAGCGTCGGCCGGCGCAGTGCGTGCGAGCTCAGACCGTCGAGCAGCAGCTGTTTGTCCAGGTGCCTGCCTCGTTTGCCGGCCAGGTCAGCCGCCAGACGCGCTAGCCGCCGCGAGTCCAACTCGGTCCGACCCGCCGTCGAGCCGGGCGACAGCTGCCAGTAATTCGTCTGCGGAACGGGGAGGATGGTTTGACACAACCGAAGCTTTAGTGCAGTATTCAGCGATACTTTGAAATACTTTGAAAAACATAAAGCTGGAATCCTAAAACTTGTGGTAACTTTTCAGTCACACTTAAATCCCGAAGCCGGATCATTAACATCACCATGGCAATCCGCACGAGTCAGCTCCCGCGATGTTTTATCGACCTACAGCTGCCGGCGAGAGATGTTCGCAGGCAAGAACTTATTCTTATTCTCTTCTTAATAACTTCTTGACAAGCTTATTGTCGTTGCTGTCGTATTCCCTGTCATACCATACTATCATCTTTAGCCAATTACACCATAGACTACTACGAGCATACTTATATTCCGCTCACCACTGTCCACTGGAGCGCGACGGTGAGCGCGTGCCTGAGGAGGTGCGCCGCCGGAAGGACGCCGTGTGCCGCGTCATGCCGAAGCACCACCACCCAGTCCGGCACGTTCTGCTGGGCGGTCACCTTGCTTATCGGCTGCACGCGGTGACTATCACGCACGTGGTACGCGTGGTTGACAAAGTTGACGAACCTGGCCGACAGTGAGGCGCGTGGGGATGACGCCACAGCGCTGGTCAAGACAGCGTCGAGGAAGAGGGAAGAGATGTGGCAGCATACGGCATCACTTCAGTGTGGAATGAATTGATCGATCGCCACAGCAACGCTCGCTACGTTGTGAGAATATCAGTCAAGCCCATGACGCCGCATCGTGCAAGTCAGTCCGTTCGGGCAAAACCAAGTCAATACCTACTCACCTTATGATGGCAAACGCCATCTGCGGCCGAAACGGATCCAAGTCGCAGTCGCCCGGCTTGCCGGCAATGGCCAGAAAGGCCTGGAGAAGCTCGACCGTCATCAGCGCGCCGGTAGGCGGAGCCGGCGACCTGGAATTGCAGTCAGCAAGATACAAGGTGAATAGGGTGTGAATGTCATAATAAAACGATATGAAGCAACAAAAAAGTGTGGGTAGTAGAGATTCATCATTCAGGGATAAAAAAGCGAGAATGTGAATAAGATCATTAAAAGGAAGAAGCTAGACAGCACTTATTTTGTACTCCTTTGGTCAGAATGACATTGTTTTACAAGTAAAAATATTTTGGGGTTAAATCATGAAATACTTTACTTTCCACCCTAAAATGATGGTCTGCCTGGCAGCCTTCATAGCCATATATTATCTCTTGAGTCTTGGGAGTAACTGTCCATCGAGTTTCCATCTCATCTCACCTTGACATGAGGCAGTTCAGTGCACTGATTGCCAGCTCCAGTTTTGAAGCATCTCCTGGTTCATCTAGAATGCTGCATACCATCACACTCATTTGGTTCCATTCCTCACTGAAAGCCATGCAACACAAAGCTAATAATCATGGTTGCCAATTCACAAACAACACAATAAACATGTACTACATGCCAGATATACAGAAAGAAGTTTAATGGAAGCTCTAAAAAGCTGAAAAGTTCTACAATATTTAACTATTCTCAATTAACTGATACAACTTACATGATTCTGTTTGTCATACATATCTTTCAAGACATGATTAACTTTAAATGCTAAAGTTTTATTTTTCTTTAAATTATCTTTTAATTATTAAAACTTAAAGGATACAGTAAATGTCCATCCTCAAGAGTAGAAAACAGAACAATTTATATGCAATGCAATGACAGTTATCCACCTAAAGTACAGTCCAAGACAACAAACCACAGGATACAATGATAAAACTTACCTGGAACACCACCCTGAATGTGCCATCACTATTTGTGTGGCAGAAATAGAGCTCTTTGCAGTTCTATCCACTCTGAAAAGATGATGAGCATAAGTGGAAGCATAACAGGAATAAAGTGAGCCCACCCATGAAGTGCTGATTCTTAATTTCTCAGAAAAGGTGCAAATTTCACAGCTTGAGTTTATTTGAAATATCTCCTTAAATCACTTATCAGATATCATCACCATTTTCCCAAAATTTGAGTTATTGAATGACATGAATGTTATGCATAGAAGAGGGAGACTAGCACTCTGCCCAATGCCCATTTTATAATATCAGGCATCCCAAAATTACTTATTTTTTTCTTCAAATGCCACCAAACCAAAGTTGTTTGTCTGCCAGTTGCCAGCCATTATCCAGCATCTTTGCTGGTCAGTATCAGTGCCAAGTAGGTAGGTGCCACTTAGAAACCCTAGTTTTTATAAGATGATTCAGGCTGACTTAAAGGTAATATTCCACTCTCTTTAAATCAGCTTTTTTGCTTCAGCTTTGAGTTTTTTCTCTTAAGGCAAACTTTTGAATTCAGATGCTTCCATTTCAAAATGGGATATAGAAGAGCCCAGCCCCAAGCTGTCCAGACAGTCCGCTGCCATATATACCCCCCAGGCTAGACTTGGACTGGCAAGAGTGTTTCAAAAATACATCCAAGAAACCTGGGTGGTGTTTCACAGCCACTGCCAGTGTGCTAATGTCCTAATTGTAATGGGCAATCTTGCCACATGATTGCCACAATACTGAATCTACTGGTTCAGTTGTCATTGGTTCAGGGCCCTGTTTCACCGCCTGACGCTGCGCACGCTGGGAGCTGAGGCATACCCCTGACGTCACTCGAATGACGTTGCGTGCGATCCATTAGCTTATGGTAAATCCCGTTTAGAACAGAGATCTTGAAGAACCTAGTACCAATTGAACCGAAGTTTGAGTGTGAATACTGCTAGCGTGAGGATGGTGTTGGCGCCAGGGTTTTAGTGTTTTGGGATGACGTCATAGCGTAGCGACAGAGGGAAGTTTGTTGATATTGCCATGGAAAACCAACACGCCGACGCGCGCTACAGCGCTCCGCCGTGAAACAGGGCCCAGTTGTCATTGGTTCAATTGTCTACTCGCTCAGTTGTCCACTGGTTCAGTTGTCCACTGGGTCAGGTTCAATTTGAATTTGAATTGTCTGTGGTTCAGTTGTCACTGGCTCAGTACCTAATCAGTTGTCACTAGATCAGCTGTGGCTTGTCCAGTTTTCGCTGGTTCAGAATTGTCCCTGGTTCAGTTTTTACTGGTTCAGTCAGGTTCAGTTGTCCCTGGATCAGTTGTCACTGATGCCTACCGCAATCAATGCCAAATTGCTAAAGAACTCCGAAGAAACATATAATTTGTACTGTTATGAGTTCAGTGATATGTACACAATCATGAGTAGCCATAAATGTAATAGCTGCGCCATGAATGTAAACAGCTCGTTCCCAAGAGAAGTGAAAAATATATTGGCGATGAGCTTTACTTAATATCGTCAAAAATTTCATGTAAAAAAAATCTGCCATAATTATAATAAAAAATGATAAAAGTTCCAAAATTCAACAATGAATAGTATAATTTTGATTCAAGTTTTATTTACTGCTTGAAAATAGTGGAGAATAGAATGAAGAAAAGTAATTACGCTGAGTCAATTGAATTCAAAAATGTTCAATATCAATATTTTCCGGGCAACAAATATTCATTGACAAATATCAGAAGGAAATTTTGTTTTTGAAATCAACAAAAAATGATTATTTACATACAAACTTCACAGAAAAGTTTTCATCACTACTCCTCTCATATCCGATTCGCTGTAGCGATCGTTGATGTAAGATTTTATGCTTGTTTATAGTGGTTATGTTGTAATTTCCGCGTGATTTTACCGCTCTATGAATAGTTTAAGATTTATCCAACATATAAATGCTTGTTTTGGTCGCCCATTCCTCCGTTCCTTGAGGAAAAGCTGGGTGTGTTGTGCGCTGTATTTGCCTGTTGTACACATAATACGCCGCTTTTATGATTTGGTCCAGTCACAGATGTGAAATCGGTTGTTTCCCCATCCATTTTTCTTGTTTTTAAACCCAAAATTTATTGTAAATGTGTAGATGAAGTCCAGTGAATATATATATAACAATTAACCTGACCGAACCTTGCCAGTACTTTAGGTCCTCGTTATTAGTAGAGCAGACGTCACACGAAGGTTTTCCAGGTATACCTATGTAAAGCTTAGGTCCTAACTACAATTGTGATGCTGTTGATACAAATAACAGCAAAAATTTTAGGTTTTAGGTTAGGTTAGGTTAGGTTGTAGTTTTGTAGGTTTCAGGTTGTAGGTAGGTCAGTAGGTGGAACTATGGTCATGAGTACCCAAATATAGGAACGTTTCCATTTTTGGAACGGAGTTCCCAAATATGGGGACGGGCGTTCCCATTTATGAGAACGGACGGCAATTTTTCGGCCGTTCGTCCACGAAAACTCACTGGCGGATCCAGGGGTTCAGCGCGGGGGGGGCATACCAGGTCACGGAGCCAAACCTAGGGTACCCCCAAATCCTGTTTTCTCATCGGATTTAGGCCACTTATTTTTCGTCATAGCCCTGACACGAGTTTTTTTTCTTAAAAAAAAAACACACACAGAAATGGTAGGACACCTGACCCCCATTGGCAGATCCAGGAGGAGGAGGCTTTTGGGACAAATACCCGGGCAGCGCCAGAAATCGACGAAAATTGGTGGGGCCGTTGGGGCGCTCAGCCCCTCAGAATGACTGGTGTATAGAGCCGACCCAGGGCCGCCGGTGTGGAACCTTAAGAGGTACTAGCGTGGGACCATCAAAGGTATCGGTGTGGGTTCCCCAGAGGCAGTGGTGTGGGGCCCTCAGAGGCACTGGTGCAGGAACCACAAAGGAGCCGGTGTGGGCCCTCTAAGGTGCTGGTGTGAGGCCCTCACATGGACGCCGTTGTGGTGCCTCAGACACTGGTGTGGCGCTAAGCCCACACCATTCACAGATGGCCATGTGTGTGGGGCCCTTGGAGTTGTTGGTGCGAAATGCGAATGCTTAATAACCCAGTAGGACCTCTCAGAGACCGACAAAGGGCCCTCAGAGGCCGGTAACAGGCCGTATGATGCCAACAATGGGCCTTCACAGGCCGGCAAGTGTCTTCAGGAGCCCTGTGGAATCCTTAGAGATCGGCATGGTACTCTCAGACGCCGGTGGGGCCCTCAGAGTCACCGGTGTAGGACCTACAGAGTTACCGGTGGCTGGCTGCCAGAGGCACTGGTGTGGGGCCCCAGAGGCGCCGGTGTGGGACCCTGAGAGTCGCCGATGTGGGCCTCAGGAGACACTGGTGTCTCAGAGGTGGCGGTGTAGGGCCCTCAGACGCGTCTGTGTGGTGCCCTCACAGTCGCCGGTGAAGACTTTCAAAGGCATCGTTGTGGGAGTCCTCACTCCTCAGAGACACATGCATGGGGGCAAGGGGTCTTCAAGAGACCAGCAAGGGCCAGCAGAGGGTTTCAGGAGCCTTGCGGGATTCTGGAGACCGGCGTGGTACTCTCAGGCGTCACTGGGAGCCCTCAGACTCACCAGTGTGGGGCCCACAGAGTGCAGGTAGGTAGCCGTCAGATGCGCCTGTGAAAGACCTTCAGAGGCGCCAGTGTGGGGCCCTCAGAGCCGCCGCCGATGTAGGGCCTTAAGAAATATTGGTGTTAGTCCCTCAGATTGGCGGTGTTGGGCCCTCACAGGCGCCGTTATGGGCCCTCAGAGACACTGGTGTGGAACTGTGGAGCCGTTCCATGCGGGTATGGGCCAGGACCCTAATTAGAGCTGACGCTTAATAGGTCAGCAAGGTCACTCAGAGGCCAGCACAGGGCCCTCAGAAGCCGGAGTGGGGCCCTTATGGAGATGTGTGATGCGTGATGTGATGTGTGATGTGACTCAGGAGCCCGTGACTCTGTGAGGTGCCCTCACGAGGCCTGCGGGCCTTATCTCAGTCGAAATAAGGCACGCTTGGACCCTGAGCGGCCAATTGGCACTGCAGGGCCTCTCGGGCCCATAGGGCACCATGCATCTAATGAGGCGGCACGCGCCCCTTGTGCCCCCCCCCCCCGGTTACGCTGCACTGGCTGCGGCCATACAGGTAAATCATATTCTAACCATCCCTATTCCCAAGCATAGGCGGCGGCCGATTCCTGCATGATTTGCGCAATATGAGTGCCATCGTTAGACAATACGGTCAAAAGGGTTGAAGCGGCATGACTCCCCTATGGTTAGAACTAAGAAGCAGCATATTTTTAGACAAAATAAAGCAATGACAACTAAATTGAGGTTACTAAAACCAGTGGCGCGGGAACCGGGACGGGGGGGGGGGGCTAGCGGGGGCTGAGCCCCCCAGCCGAAAAGCTGGGGGGCTCGTAATGTATTTGAGCCCCCCCCCCCCCCCCCAGCTGGAGGAATCGAAATCGGAAATCTACCAACATAATTTCATAGATTCATACATAGGCGCGGGAACCGGGGGAGTGGGCAGTGGGGGAAGCTTGCCCCCACAATTCTGCGGCCGTGGGGGCGGTCCACACAACTTTTCATGAGGCCAGGAACCGTTGGGCAGCTTGTCCTTCCCAAATTAGGGGTTGTGGGTCTTATAGGAAGAAAGCATGTAAGTGAAAAATCCACCTCTTTCACTGGCTCGGCAACTCATTTGACAGATTAAAACATTTACTCCAGGTTGCCAAAACGGTAGTTTCTTCACTCAGCTGAGACGGAATGCCTCACTTTTTGCATTTTTTTCGTTTTTTTTTTGTTGTTGTTGAAAAGACCAAAGTCTGAAAAATAAGTGGCCTAAAACCGGTGAGAAAACTAGATTTGGGGGTACCCTAGGTTGATCTCTATTATGGTTCAGCCCCCCCAGTCTGGAAGAAGTTCTCGCGCCGCTGACTAAAACGACTCTGATCACAAAAGTAGTTACTAGGAAGGCTTTCTAAACCATTTTTATTTAGTTCCTCGTTATAGGCGTAAGAAGTGTAAGTCTGAACGGGGGGGGGGGCATACTTGTACTGAATGCCCTCCCCAGGCTCCTGTCGGGGGGGGCATATGCCCCTAATGCCCCCCCCTGGATCCGCCAGTGCGAAAACTCAAAAGTGCACCACGTCTCAAAAAAGTGCACGCTAATTTAAGTATCTACTAAGTCTCTATAAAATTATCTTTAATCTGACCGTTGAACAAGGAAATTGACCGTCGAATGATATTTTTAATGTTTTTTTGAAATGACGGAATGGTGAAAACATGGGTTATACTACATTTAACATGCAATTTTAAGGAAAATGAAGCGTTTTTACATTTTGAGGTAAAGTATAATAATTTTCGCCTGGTTATGAAGTTTCATACTAGCGACACCAGATGCTGACATATGCAAGCGAACACGCGGACAGTCCCGAGGTAATATTGTTGACTTTTGGTGTCGGGGCGCACGACCGCGTGGAGCGTCAGTGATGTTACCGAACTACTGTTGTAAACTCAGTTTCCGTGGTTTAAAATTATTCAGCTGTATTTTATCAGCCCGTAAAGACATATTTTATTTGGATGCTAGCTGTTTAGCGTTGTTTTATAAGGAGCGTCATGAGCGTGGTTTTTGTCTTCCGTGTTTCTAAGCATGATCGTTTTGGGGGAATTTCTCTTATATAGGTCGCTCTGTGTGGCTTATTTATAATTTTTATGCTGATTTCGATCATTCCTCGTGCCCATTCTACCAGGCCTTTTGCCACTTACACTCATTATAAAAGGAAAAAATTAGCTTTTCATTGGGACTAGGTGTTTTGAGGGTGTAACATATTCAGCGTTCCCATTTTTGGATACTTCCTTGTGCTCGTCAACTATCGGTGATAAACAGACAGGTGCTTGACATGTCTCCACCCTCGGCGCGGACGGTGGCTATAGGTATGGAAGACCTTGTTGAACATCGCTGAGCGTTGTGAATTACGTAATCCTGCAGAGGGGGGCGTGCCCGCTGCGAGATCGACGGAAATAAAAGCGCAGAAGACCGGGCGAAACATGCGACGGTCTTGCCGGAAAGGTCATCTGATGATTGTTGTGTTAACAATGATTTGCGGCGTTGGACGTGATGCTTGTTAATGAAAAGAGCCCCTGAAAGGCGTCAGTGAAATCGTTCCCAATATTGGGTACGCCGTTCCCATAATAAGGAACGCTTGCAGCGCCAGTGTACGAGAGCGTTCCCAAATTTGGGCTCGCGGCCCGGATGATGGACTGCTTTAGAAATAGGGGAACGATTTGAAAACACGATGGGCCTTACAATATTTAACTCTTTCCCTACAATATTGAGACAAATATCAGGCGGTTCACGATCGTTTTATATTTTTTGGACGTCATTTAACTGTTCTTTTTCTTGTTTTGAATAATGCCTACATGGCGTTCCCATATTTGGGTTTATCGTTCCCAAACATGGGAACGAAAATGCGTTCCCGAAAATCGGTACGCTTGACCATAGTTCCGCCTACTGAGGTAGGTTTTAGGTTGTTAGGTTGTAGGTTTGTAGGATGGTAGGTTATAGGGGTATATGTCAAGTTAAGGTCCTAACCACAATTGTGACACTGTTGATACAAATATGAAACAGCAAAAATTTTAGGTTTTAGGTTAGGTTAGGTTGTAGGTTTGTAGGTTTTAGGTTGTAGGTAGGTAGGTTTGTAGGTTAGGTTAGGTTAGGGTAGGTTTGTAGGTTGTAGGTTGGTAGGTTATAGGTAAGTAGGTAAGGTTAGGTCAGGTTTGATTATGTTTTTTCTTTTATTTGCGAGACAAATGAGTATCATTTTTGGATTCAGGATGTCAAATAATGTAAGAATATGAAAAATTTATCAATGAAATCTTCTTAGGACTTAAACTTGACATTTACCAGTTATAGGTAAGTTGGTAAGGTTAGGTCAGGTTTGATCATGTTTTTTTCTTTTATTTGCGAGACATATG